CTTGCCCTAGACTTCTGCTTTCAGACGTAGTTAATTATGAAGTTATTACCCTATCCGATAATAATCCAATGCAGAGGCAATAATGTCATATAATACATTATTTTATATATATTAAATATTTATATATCTATTTTGATATATAGTCTTAAAGTTACAACCGGCCCTTTGAGTGCAACCATAATGCTGATGTGGCCCACGAAGAAATTGAGTTTGACACCCCTGTGTTAGGCAAATGTTTAGGCCGGCGCTAGTATTTGTACATTTGAGTCCTGTCGACATGCTCCAATGATTAAAAAGTGCTTTGTTTCTCCCTTTGCAGACCGTTTACATTTACAAACACCGCCTCAGGAAAGGGGACAACTCCAAGAGGGCCAGAGCCCCTCTGTTACCTGCGGCTCCACGTCCAGGATGGAGACCATGTCCTGCTGGTGGATCTGCCGTATGGTCTCAAGCCGGGTGCCGTACATGGCGTCCTCGTGGCTGCCGTACTCCAGGTAGTCGTTGTTGCTGATGTCCTGCATCATCTGGTCGTGAGACACAAAGTAGTAGTTCTTGCCGTTCTCCTCGTCCTTCTTGGGAGGCCGAGTCGTGTCTGAGCAGAGAGGGAGGGGTCGGGAGGGAGAAAATTAGAGTACATTAAAGATCAGTGAGTAGTGGTGGTAGTAGTAGTAGTGGTAGTGGTAGTAGTGGGACTATTAGTAGTAGTAATAATAATAATAATAATAATAATAATAATGCATTTTATTTATATAGCACTTTTCACAACTCAAAGACGCTTCAGTAGTGGTAGTAGTGGTGGTGATGGTGGTGATGGTGGTGGTGGTGGTGGTAGTAGTAGTAGTGGTGGTGATGGTGGTAGTAGTAGTAGTAGTAGTAGTGGTGGTGATGGTAGTAGTAGTAGTAGTAGTAGTGGGACTATTAGTAGTAGTAGTGGCAGTGGTGGTAGTGGTAGTGGTGGTAGTAGTAGTAGTGGTGGTGATGGTGGTAGTAGTAGTAGTAGTAGTCGTAGTAGTGTTGGTGATGGTAGTAGTAGTGGTAGTAGTGGGACTATTAGTAGTAGTAGTGGTAGTAGTGGCAGTGGTAGTAGTATTAGTAGTAGTAGTAGTGGTAGTGGTAGTAGTAGTAGTAGTATTAGTAGTAGTAGTAGTAGGTGTGGCAGGAAACACTACCACTTTGTCAGAACCTTCCAATAAATACAGAGACATCTATGTACAAAATATAGGACAATCTTTATTATAAGAACAAGTTAATTGATAAGAGGAGAGCAAGAGAGGAAGCTAATCCACGGGACACAAGGAACCCCCACAATATAGTGTATTGTATCGTCTGTGCTTGACTTACGGGGGATGGGGTAGGCAAAGCGGTCGGGGTGTTTGGTGATGAGCGTGTTCTTGATGTGCCTCCTGCCGACTCCATGTGCACCTGAAAGATAAGAGAGCAGAGATAATTTAACTGTTGTAATACCACACAAATAATAATAACAGTGTGAGTAAGAATAGCAAAAAGCAAATCCAGAAATGGAAAATGTATAAAAGATCAAAATAGAGTTTCATTTAACTTGGAGTACATTTTTGGGATTCTCTGCTTGAGTGCGTGAATCTTCTTGTCTTGCTAATTGTGCTTTCTGTTCTTTGCCAGGGATGGTCCCAATTGAACAAAGGAAAGAAACCAAGATGGCTTCCAAGCAACACACAGGCTAAACCTCAATCCTCAAGTGTTGCAATCTTCACATCTCACAACTTAGGACAATTGCTTTTAACAACTTTCACATTCTAAAGACAATATAAACGCTTGGTTACTTACCGAGCAACACTAGTGTTTTTCTTTTGAAAGACGGCACTCTGACCACTTCCTCGTATGTCACCAGATCTAGTTGGTCAAACACTGTGCGACACAAGAGGAGCATTAGTCTGGCACATAGTGTTAATTGACAAACAGCGTATTCGCGCCCAACACCAGACTCCTGCTTTGTGATATAAAAAGGTTGCTCAAACATTACAAACGCTCTTGGTATTAAGTCAGGACCGAAAGCTAATGGCACTTCCCTGACAAGAGTGTAAACTACTTCTACTCAACATTTTTTTAGACAACAGAATTCTCAGTTATGTCCGCTACAAACTCGACATTAGAACATGAAGGGAGAATTCACTGCACTAGTAACAGTGAAGGATGGAAAAACAATTCAAAGTAATTCATCTAGCTGCACCTTTCGTCACTAAATAGAATCCAAACATATTATTCTTATATACTTTAAGTAGAATTGGATGTTCATTATTTTGTATCTTTCAACTGTTAGTTTTCCTACCCATTTTATTTCAGCACAAGTGCTCCATGCGCCAGACAGAAGATATCCAGTGCTAAGCACTGCCTCTGGGAATCAATAAAGATGAGCTATAACTGCACTTTTCTTGAAGTTTGGCTGTTTCTGTTTGTTACATCACCTACATCATATGTAATGTGAAAATACATTGCTAACAAAGACACATTAAGGACAAGTTTTCAAAAGCAGATAGAGGTAGAAAAACACAGAAGCTGGGCGCCAGCTGTCTGGAGTTACTTACATGCAGCCATGTCATTGGGTAAGAGACAGCATGAAATATGGACAAAGGGTGGGAGCGGAAGGAAGGAAGGGTTAATAAAAAAAGACACTTTAAAAGAAAACCTCATTACACTAAACAAAAACACAAAAACTTTGTTACCGTCTAAATGTTACTTGAAACACTGTTAGTCAGAAGGCAGTGGGAGAGGTCTGTCAGAGGGAAATGCAACAGACATGCAGCACTAACACAAACTCCAAACAGGTGCGACAGTAATGTTATATTTTCTTTTACCTTTACGTGGCCTTGCAAACAAAGCCCCAAAATCCCAGCTTAGGTACAAATACATATATATAGCCAATTAGCTTCCTTGCGCTGTGTGCGTACGGCAATGCTTACCTGCGTTGTGCTTGGCCAGGTACTTGTCTTTGTACTGTTTCTTCTTCTTACCAAACCAGGTGCAGCTCGCCTGCTGCTCCTGTTTGGTCTTCTCCATCGCTATACACGCCACGCGCCTGCAACAAACACACGTACGCTTTTACTGTACCTTACCTTTACAGTAACTCCTATGTCGTTCGGCATTAATGTGTGCCTTTAATTATTACCAAGTACCTGAACGTTAATAATGTGTTGTAGTATTATATATATATTCAGTGATGCAAACACAGGTATGGTGAAAAAAGAGAGAACTATTCGAAGCAGAAAAAAAACATCGTAATATACCATCTGACAATGACAGATTTTTCTTTTGGGATATTTTACAAATCACTCCCCTTTCAAACTCTATTCTTGTTATTTTTAACAACTTTTTTTTGTTACTGTCATATAGTATTTTATACCTGTTAATAATTGAGTCTCTAATGTCTCATTAATAACTATAATGATCATATCAAGGTGTGCCTTAACCTCACTGAGGGTTATTTGAGCCTCTCAGGAGAGAGCTCTCTTCCACCTGGTTGTAGAAAAGCTCTTTAAATTCGTTAGCATAGCTAGCTAACCAGATGCTAATAACAACAGATCGCCACTGTGCTTACAACTAAAGACACAGCCTCGCAAACACTGCGGCATGTGTACGGCTCCTTATGGGTACTGCAATATTTGAAGAGCTGGAGCAGCGTTCCGATGCTCTCCGTTACACCTTCCAGACGAGACATAACCACGTGAAGACCTATGGTGAAGACACGTTACGCTCGTGTTGTGTTCAATGAACCTGTCCTTGGCCAGGAAAAACAGGCACTCGCTTGTTTAATTATTTTGCGATCTAGATTTCTTCTTCTTTTTTGAAGTGAGAAGACTCTTCGGTTCTCCACGAATTACACAAGTCAACCAAATCAGCGATAAAAAAAGCGGGAGGCGCCGAAAAGCGACTAATTTGCATCACTGATATTACATCAAATAAGGGTTGTGTAATGCAACAAAGAAAGAAGATTGTGGTAGTGTAAGAAACAAGGCCTCAGAGTACAACTCCTCCTCACTTAATGGTGAACCTTGGTGGAGGTCGAGAAGCGGTCAATGTGACAGACCGCCTCCGGGCCACGTGGGCGGAAGTTAAATCATTGCAAAGGTTGCCAAAAACAGTTACAGGCACGTACGTGGAGAAATACAAACGCTAACAAGTTACGACAAATAATTATGGCAAGCCGATTTAGCTTTTATTCATTTCTGGAGGATATCAAAAATGATTTTCTTGACTTGACTCGCATATTTTTGGACTTGAGACTTGCTTGACTAACATTGATAAAAGACTTGACACGACACACAAAATCAAGAAACTTTAGTAACATTACAATATTTTCTAATACAGCATTTGTGCATGATGTCGTTGACTACACAGAGGTAGATTAGTCAAGATAATAAATACATTGATACATTTAAAAAAAAACGTATCCTTTATTTCACTCCAACATAAAAACATTTCAAGGTGTGTCTCTCTTACCACTCCTGCAGCTCAGGCGAGGGGATGAGTCCCGCCGTGGCGTTCTTGGTGTTCTCCAACTTTCCCTGCCACCAGTTGTGGTCGTCCTTGGAGATGATCTGAATGATGTCCCCGACGCGGAAGGGGACGCCCGCCTCCTTGCACGGGATGAGGTCGTCTTTGGTAGGGTCGTACTCGAACTGAGCGCGGACGTAAATCTGTAAAAGTGGCGGAGTTAGCGGGTGACTCGGCGGCAAAGACGACAATGAATATGTATGGAGGGGGGGATACAAAATGATCGGCCAAGCTGCCAACGTAAAAGGAATAAAAAATGCTGCACCCGAGCCCGTGGCGACAGAAGGAGAGGGCAAATCGACAGCGTGACCCAAAGCGCTGCACAGCACAGACAGTTGGAAAAATGAAAGCGGACCGCAGCTATCGAGCAACCTTTCTTAACGCGGCTTACGCGCGCATTTTTGGGTTGCCTTGTATGACCACTGACACACCAAATAGCCAGCATGGGATCTACACACCACTACGATGGGGAACCGCACGTTGCCATGGGGATGGGAGGAGGCTACTTCTACAAAGGGTCCACTAAGAGACGTCTTACCTTGATGGACAATTTGTCCTTGATAGCAGGTCTGGAGATCTATGGGGTTGAGAGCATCACACACACTTACACGTATATCATGCTGAAGAAAACATTCGGCAGAGGGGCGTCAAGAAAATAGGATGTGGAGTCTGATAAATGACAGTGTTTCTACCACGTTTAAAAAAGGTACAACGGCGTGACAGACATAATGTCCTAAATCAACTGAGGACACGAACCGAGGGTTCCTCGCATTCTCTTTTCTTCTCTACATCTGCTTAATTGTGGAGGAATCCTTTCCAATGTTCAAGAGTCACGTTACTGCCTGACATTGGAGAACAAAACTAAACACATGTGATGGGAATGGAAGAACACACGAGTGCATACTGTACGTGCAGATCTGTTCCAACGAGTGTTAGTTGTGATATCGGTAGTAAAGCAAAAGGAAGAGGATTAAACAGTTGAATGAGTTCAGTGTAAGGACTTTGGAAATCTCACCTGGCGGCCTTTGGGCTGGATCGTCGCCGGGAGGTCCTAGTTGGGATAAGACGTGTTTTTAAATGTAGTGTGTTAATTAAAAAGCGCACTAATAAAACCATTAAATCACACCAAAACCAGATGGCATGTTTTTATTTGAAGGAAACAACACGTGCCACTGATTCTGGCAATTTCAAGGTATGAAACTTGACAGCTGACACGATACCTTGCACTATGTCCTAACTTGTTATTTAAGGCAGTAAAGCATTTGATTATTTGATTTCTTGATATAAGTTAAAAGGTACGTTTTACAAGAAATGCTTTTATTTTGAAACGCAAGTATGTCCCTTCCTCTAACTGCTTCCTGTTGTTATAAAAATTGAATACGAGCATGTCGAGTGCATTTTTCTCTGTCTTCCACCGTTCTTTTTGAAAACTGTTAAAGGAATATAAAGTAAAGGTTCAGTTTGAAATAGACTGTGCTTGGTTCTTCATTCGAAGCTTCAATTACACAACACACTATGACTGATATAGCTTTTATACGCTATAAAAACAATACATATGAAATGCTCTTCTTTGAACTAAGGAACCTACCAGGATGGAGCTGGTTACACTGGCGTGTCCATTTGCGGGCGACTGTCGAGACACATCTGGTGACTCTTTCTGCAACAAAAGAATTATACATTTGTTTTATTAATTCCACCCAAAATACAGTATGTTAAAGTCCATGCAGGTTTCTGAATCCCTACCTCGCAAGACATGGACTGGGACCGGTAGCTGGGCACAATCTTGAAGGTGATGCTACCCCTCATCTCCCTCTGTGCGCAAACAGTAAAGAAAGGCATGTTTCATATCAGCTTTTATTACACACGATACAAACCAATAACGGAAAATAAACGACACACAAACTATCGTTAGCACTGTCGGCATAGTACGGCAGCTGCTGACAAATCCAAATGTTACGACGCCTGCTAATACAAATACACACTAAGGCACGATAACAATAATGTGTGTGACATACCAGCATCTTCTGGAGCTGCTCGACCGTCTGATTAGCAACGCTGATGCCGTTTATCTCCCGGATCTCGTCTCCTACGTGCAGAGTCCCTAAAGCGGAAACGGAATACGTTAATAAAGGCTGCAGATGCCAGGACGCAGCTGTCAGGGAGCCTGACCCATAGAAGCATTTCAATTATCCGCAAGTTAGTCCCACCAACAGTTTCGATTATCCCTCTGATTCTTCTTAATGTCAGAATACTTGGATAGGGTTGCGTACCTTGTCGATGAATCATTCCACCATGCATGATTCGCGCCACGATGCAGTGGTTCAGTTCATTCATTTTCAGAGTGATGCCCTAAAGGAGACAGAGAGGGGGTGAGAGGGAGACCTGAGGGTAACCGCACCTTCTGTCAACATAATCCAACACCAATGCAAAAGGAACACTCGGCGTCGGACAAGCACGGCATGGACTTCTAAATATTTACTACCGGTACATGTTTCCAAAAGTTAACTGGGTGTTGAAAAGAAAAACTGCGCATGTATCCGTATGTGACAATCTGCTGGTCAACGCACCATGGGCTCGTCTGTGTTCTTCTGGAACTGGACCAGGCGGACCCGGGTGACGTTCTCCAGGTCCATGTCCCCGTTGGTGCTGTCCGGGGAATCTCCGTTCAGGTAAGGGGAGGTGGGCGGGGGGGTCACCCTCAACGCATCGTCACTGTACACCTCGTGGGCCACCACGTCGTGGGTCTGCAGCAGAGCCTGGGTTGTGGACACACACACACATTAATGGTCAGTAAGTCTGTTTTTTCTATAGCAGTGAAGTCTATTGCTACTGCCAGTAATTACACCATGCTGTAAACACAAGAGGACAGCCACAGGCCATGTCAACAACTGTTATGTTGAGGAAAGACTTTGGACTACAATCCCAAGCTGCTCTGAACAACTACAGCAGAAAACACTCCAACAAAGTGTTACTACACACACACACACACGGCCATGTGGAGAGCTCCAGCATTGAACCACGTGGCTCACACTAATCCTCTCCGGCCACTAATCGTCTCACTCACACACTGAGTGTTTTCACAAACACGGCAACACGCTGCGTCTGCCAAACAGTCACATCTGCTCACCGCAGAGACAACGTGTTCGTTAAGGCGGTGAACATCACTGTGGCTGCTTGACGATAACGAAGAACAAAGTATTTCCTTGGGTCATAACTGGAGTCCAACGCTACAAACAAAAACATGTAAAGGCTAATTATCTGTAAGTGAGGTGCGCTAGCCTTATGTGCTACCATGCTTAAACCCTTCACATCCATTCTACTAAAGCACTGAGGCAGCCAGTCGGGTCAAAGAGCAACGCGGGCTAATTGGATTCAACCGGACCCCTGGCGCTGTGACTGAATCGGCCTTTATGTGGGCTCCCTATAGTTGCATAGATAGTACCGTTCGACATTTAGCTGCAGTTCAATTTTGCAAGTGACAACAAACGCAATACAGACGACTGTACATGCATTAAAACACTCTTGAAATTACACCTTTACTCAACACGGGCCAAACTGTTTCTCAATAGTTATACCTTAACATGGCGTCCAAGTGCATCAGCTTTAAATCCAAATATACTCTTTAATTGTCCTTCTTGTCCATTTCAGCCTCTACACTCATCTGACAAAACTCCTCCTGCCTCCTCCTCGGCTCTCTCCCCTCTCCCTGTGTCCGTCCCTCCCCCGTCTCAGGTGCTAAGGAGCTTTGTGGACTTTAGGAGAACCCTATTTTCTGACACCAAATGTTGTAATCTCCCACCCCAGTACCGTATGCCTTGAGTGCACATGGGCCAAAACATATCTACATCTTTCCCCACCATGAAGTGTGGCTGTGTGAGGATCCTCCTGAGCTCCTTGGCCTCCATGTTCTCGGGGTAACAGGAGAGCGTTTCCAGTACCTGGTGAGGAAAAATAAAGGAGAAACAGGTGTCAACAGAAACCTAGAAAGCTTTTAGGATCCCAGAAAAAATGATCTCAGCTTCGAACGACATCAATGAGATCCCTGTTTTAAATGTGTTTCCCGGATTTAATTTCGTGTTCTTTCGTGAAAACGAGCAGCCGGTTCCTCACCTCTTTGGCTCGCTGCACTCCGTCACTCGGAGGGTTTCTGATCTGAGGGGACGACCTGCTGTTGATTTTGTCATAGAGCTGAAACGAGAAGTAAGCGCAGTTTGATCTCGTTAGACAAGGAAAACCCACACAATATGAATTGTACAGGCTAGTACATTAAAGGTGCATTAAGGACTAATAGTGACAATAGCTAACTCTTGACTTGTGATGCCCCCTACCGGTCGCTTTTGGGATTTCTACTCACATCTAACAGGGTGTGGAGGTGCTGGTCCTGGAAGACGCTGTGCAGGAAGTCCATGTCTTTCTCGCTGCAGTCCGTCAAGGCGTGAATCTCCTCTAGACTGTCCAAGACCTGCGACACTGCCCCTGAAAACACACGTTATACACTCGTATAAATACAATGAAACACACGCCCACTGTTACACCCAGCAGTCGCTGCAAAACACTCGCAAAACTACACAAAATGCTAAACACTGAACATCAACAAGCAAAACATAAAGCAGAAACACCACACAAAGAAAAAGACAAGGAAGACATCACAACAGAGTACACACACACAGACACTCAGAACGATTTAACCCCAAGTACCTGCTGCATCGCCCACGCATGCAGCAAAACCAGAGAAACAGCGGTATACGGCATCAATAAAAACATCAGAGGAAAGTCACTTCAAAAAGTCACAGTGTGGAGGATGGGTGTCGAGCAGTACGCCCAGGAAAAATGCAGAATATTCGAACACATACATGACAGTGGGAGGAAAATTGACCTGTTCTTAGAAAGCAAAGTGAAGCGGAATATTTGAACGTTCATTAAGATATTTAGCCATAAAACCAGTAGTTTTCCCGACATCAACAGAGTCTGCGTTTGCCTAACAATCAAATACTCTTTGGATGTCAAATAAATTTCAGCGTCGTGTAGAACTGTGTATAGCGTCGTGGTCCATATGTCCTGACTTTTCCAACTGACTGACAAGTCAGAAAGTTTGCCCTACCACGTCTTATTAAACTCGTCCTCTAATTAAAGGATCTCTTTAATGTCACATGAATATGACGATTAATAAACTAGACCAAGTGCCGCACACAATTTTATAAACAGACAATTACCTCTCGACTTTGTCGGCGGTTGTTCTAAAGGATTCATTATTTGTGGATATGTAAAAAGACACGACAGTGCGGAGTGTCATTGAATAAGTAGTTAGGGGAATAATCGGGTCGTCCAGGTGGAAGAACCACTCTTACCCTACCTAAGAGATGTGCACGTA